CGGATAGCCAAGCCTCGCCCCGCAAGCGAAGGGGGCGCACTCCAAATATGAGTCACAGATCTGCGAGATATTCTGGGACCGAGCAGAATACCACAGCCCGCTGACTTATCAGTGAAGGGCCCTCGCTGCCATCCTGCCCCCACCATCCACCTGTCTCCCGCCTTCCTCCATCCCGCCGCCTCACCGTACCTTTTACTGCCTGTTCCTGCGAGGGCAACGAAGTCCACATTGGTCGCCTGCTCTGCGATGTCGAACAGTCTGTCCGAGGTGGAGGCGCACTGGGGGCTGAATTGCATGACGGATGAATTCTGCATGCGCTCAGTGACGGGAGTGGCCGGCTGCACGCCGCGAAGCTGTGCGGCGGGAACCTCAGAAAGAAACCAAGAGTGAAAACATGGAATCTGTGTGGGCGCCTTAGGGGGAGTAGGCTACATGTTCGACATGGGGGGGCATGGAAAGCGCCTGTGCCAAGACGCCAGGAGGAGGAGGAGGAGGAGGAGGAGGAGGAGAGACGGAGGAGGAGGAGGAGGAGGAGGAGGTAGGAGGGACGAGGGAGGAGCCGCAGCAGCAGCGGGAGCATCGGGACAGCCCGCTGCCGCCCGACCCCCTCTGCGCCGGCCCCGCTGCCCTCGAGGGAGCACGCGCCGGAGCCTGTTTTTTTTTAGACTCTGGCAAGTTTACTTGCATGGACGGGGGGGGGGGGAGCTGAGCAAGGGGGGGGGGGGCGCGGGCGCACTTCTAGTATTCGCTTGAAGAGGGGCGAGGGGGGGGGGGGGGGGGGCGAACGCCATGCAAGTAAGCTTGCCTGAATCAAAAAAAAAACAGGCTCCCGCGCGCTCGGCCGTCCGGGGCGCGGGCGCGCCGGCCGCCCCCAAAAGGTGCCACTCTGGCGGCCGGCGGCGGCAGGGAGCGGCGCCCCCGTGCACGGCGCGGGCCCCGCCCCCCGCCACCCCCCTTGTCGGGAGGCAACTACTGGGAGTTTTCCGTCGGAAGGATGAGAAAGAATCTCGCCAGCCCTCTGGGCGTCGGTGGTCTAGAGAGCTTCCTCTTCCAACCCCCTTCTTCCCCTTCGGGGAGGTGCTTACCCCTCCCCCTACCCCCTCCCCTGGACCTGGACGGGGGGTTCCGCGGGTCGTTGGGGCGTCCAAGATGGCCCAAGACGGCTCCAAGAGCGAAAAGACGGGAAAGCAACAAAAACATTGTTTTCCCTTGGTTTTGGAAGGATGTTGGCCCTTTTTGGGGCCCAAGAGGCACTCTAGAGGGGCAACGCTAATTCGCACACCCCCTTCTTTGATAGATCTCCTCCAACATGGCCCCAAGAGCGCCCCGCTCCCAAGAGCGCCCCAAGAGCGCCCCAAGAGCGCCCCAAGAGGGCCCCAAGAGGCCCCAAGAGGCGCCCAAGAGGCCTCCAAGAGGCTCCCAAGAGAGCCCCAAGAGGGCCCAAGAGGCTCCCCGAGATACGCAAGAGGCCCCCACGACCGCCAAGAGGCCCCAAAGACGGCCCAAGAGGCCCCCGAGCTCGCCATTGTCCTCCTCCTCCTCCTCCTCCTCCTCCTCCTCTTTTTCTTCCTCCTCCCTCCTCCCCCTCCCTCTCCTCCTCCTCCTCCTCCTCCTCCTCGTCCTCCTCCTCCTCCTCCTACTCCTCCCCCTCCTCCTCCTCCTCCTCCTCCTCCTTCTCCTCCTTCTCGTCCTCCACGTCCTTGCCCTCCTCCATCTCCTCCTTCTCATTTTCCTCCTCCTCCCCCTCCCCCTCCTCCTCCTCCTGCTCCTCCTCCTTCTCCTCTTCCTCCTTCTAATCCGACGACGACGACTCCTCCTATATCATCCCCCTCTTGGGGTATATGGCGGCTTACCCCGCCCTTTGTTCTTCTGCATTCTCCCCCGCTTCCCTCATCACCTCCACTCCCCTGGGACTCATTTCTGGACGGGCTGGACGGGCTGGTGGGGATACGCGAAGCGTTTAGAATTAAGCACCATTGGGGGACTGTCACGCCGGAGTGGGCCTCGGATTAAGCCGGATTGAGCCGGATTCAGCGGGATCCAGCCGGATTAAGCAGGAGTAAGCAGGATTAGCCGGATTTCGGACCAGGGCAAAATCAGAATTTGATCTCCCAGGAGTTGCATCCGAACCCTTGGGCAGAACCCCACCTGAGGGGCGACGTTCGGGGGACCAGCTCGAGCTCGAATCGGTTGTACGTCGCCGATAGATCGTAGGCCCCTGACAGCGAAACCGCACATTCTTGGGCGGGGTGGGCTAGCAGGCCCCAAACGGCGATGGATGAGCGGTTGGGGGGACGATGCGTCCCCCCTGAACCTGCCCTCCCTGACGTTCCGCCTGACTACCCCTGCAATTCGGAATCCTGAAACGCCGGCTGGGGTTCAGAGCTCGGACGATGTCTGCAAGTGGGCCCCAGCGGGAGTGTCCGATGCCACAAGCGTCGACTGGACCCCAAGTGGTCGCAGAACCTCCCAACCCCTTTTCCGACCCAGAGGCAAACGTTCTGCGCTCAAGTTTTGCACCGGGCCTGACCTCTGTACCTCCCTCCAGCGCTGGCGACGAGCGAGGCGGCCACCACCGCGCGCCCCCCATCGATGCGCGCGTCATCCAGAACCGAACTGAGGGAGGTGCTCCTCCAGACGACAGAATGAACTGGCTCCGCTCGCGTGGGCCCGTGGCAAGCCGCACGGGTGCTGGCCAGCTCCCCTCACCCTCACTGTTCCAGACAATTCCGCCCCAATCTCCTGTCCCTTTTGCGATCTGATCCATGCGGGTTTCCTTGAGTGGCGAAAGGTTTCTATTAGCTTGGATGGATGATTCAGCATTTTTCGCGGAGGTCGGGTGGTATGGATAGAGGCCTCCTAGATGGGGTCCGAGTAGATGGTGTCGGAGGATCGCGCCGCATCGCCGATACATCGGAGATGCATTGCCGGTGCATCGGCGATACATCGGTGATGCACTGGCGATGTCGGCGATGCATCGGCGACGTCGGCGTGGAGAAAATGGGGCCCCACATCGAGCCGCATCGCCGATGCATCACCGAAGAATCGGCGATGCGGCGCGATCCTCCGACCCCATCTACTCCGACCCCATCCAAGAGGCCTACGTAGAATGGAAGGTGGAAGTGGAGGGTCGAGGCGAGCCAATGTCGTTGCGCTCGTCCTGCTCTTCTCTCCCATCGGGCCTGGGGGAGGGCCTACAGTCGGGGCCTTGACCTAAGGAACCTAAAATAAGGAACGAGGCCCCTTTTTTCCATAAGTTAAGCTTCGATTTCCGATCGAAAGCATAAGGAAAACCTGAGGCAAGCTGCGAAACACTTAAGGAACGCGGAGCCCCTCCCCAACGAAAAGGGTTCCTTCTTCAGGGCCCCGACTGTAGCGGGGCGCCCTGGGAGGGCCAGCGGACACGACACACGACACACGAGGGCAAGCAGAGTGCTTCTCGGCATGGGTCTCCACGGTAGGGGACCTTGGCCTTGGCCAAGAACACTGATGCAGGGAACCGACCTCTATACACCAACACTTTTTCCGGCCCTGCGCTGAAACTCTCACAAGAAAGCGGATCCTGGTGTATATGGGGTCCTGGTGTGTACATGTTTCGCCGTTTCCCTGGGGAAGCGGGGAAAAAGCACACACCACACCACCCCGACGTCGCACCCGACCCTCGAAAAGTCCTGGGACTGAAAGAGAGCCCGACACTGGTAGTGTATATGTTCGGGTTTCCGATGATGACCGTGATCGCGCCGCCAGGAGCATGGTGTTGGAGGCCTGGAAACTGGCACCAACACCAGCACAGGGGTTTGCCTCCACAGGGAGATGATGATCTTAGATTTCGGTGTGGGTGGTAATATTTCGGTCACCCTGGAAGCCAGAATATTACCACCATCACCGAGATCGGGATCGTCTTCCCTCGGTGGAGGCACACCGCCGATCTTGGTGTTGGTGCCAATCTCTAGGACTGCGATGGTGCCGGCCTGCGCCGGCCCGCTCCCGAGGCCACGCTGGCCAGGGCAGGCCGAGCCGAACCCGAGCCCCGAGGCCCCTTGGCGGCGGCGCGCAGCCCCCGGGAAGCCGCCCACCCCGCGCACGCGGCACGGAGACGAGGCGAGGATCTATCCATGTCCACCGCCTGGGAACCGACGTCCGGATGCCCCAGCGGGCGGCGGACATGGACGTATCTCGGGCCCCGGGGGCATCCTCACCATGATCACAGACAGCAAACTCATCGGGACAAACGTGCGACATCTTAAAGCATCACGACTACAACCCCAGACACCATCTTTCCCGACCACTTCCCCAAGGGGAGAGTTTTCCTCCTGGATCCGTCTTGGACTGTCCTGGGGCTGGGAGGGAAGGAGGGAGAGGAGGAGGAGGAGGAGGAGGAGGAGGAGGAGGAGGAGGAGGAGGAGGAGGAGGAATAGGAGGAGACGAAGAGCCCGAGAGCGCAGGCCCTGGAGGCCGAAATCGGCGAATCTATCAATGTCCACCGCCTGCCGAGGCCCCCGAAAAGTGGCCCTCCACGCGGTGGTCATGTACAAATGCCCGCCCCGGAACGAGGGCCAGCCCGGGGGGGGGAGCGGCAGGCAGAGACCGGGGACGGGGAGGAGAAGAGGAGAGACCCTCGCCTCGGCCGTCAATCCTCCTCCTCCTCCTCCTCCTGCTCCTCCTCCTCCTCCTCCAATTCCTCCTCCTCCCTCCTCCTCCCTCCTCCTCCTCCTTCCTCCTCCTCCTCCTCCTCCTCCTCCTCCTCCTCCTCCTCTTTCCCCTCCCTCCAGCCCCTCGGGGGAGGCGCGCAGCAGCGCAGGAGGGCAGAGGGCGGATCGGACTGGCGGGCGTGTAAGCGCGGTCCCGGGGGGGAAATAGGAGCTGAACCAGGGGAGGGGCCCGCTTCCTTGACCCCTGGGGCGCAGTGGAGATCCCAGAAGCCTCAGCAGGGATCCCGCGCGAGCTGGCGACACGCTGGGACCTCCACAGGGGGGGCTGGAGAGTCGGGTGCGACGGTCCTCTGCCAGGAAGGCCAAGGCCCTGTTGTACTTCTGCAGCGCCTCCTTGAAATCCCTCCGGCCGAAATCGGCCTCGCCCTGTCCCAAGTCCAGCGCATCGGCGGGCGAACGCATCAGCACGTGAGCGCGCCAAGACTGGCAAAACCATGCCACCTATACTGCCTGATAAGACGTTGTCATTTCAATATCGAGTGTGAGAATATCAACATCGTCTGCGCATATCCCACATCACTCCTATCAACCGTGGGATAGGTAAGTGACGCAAGTTGCCCAATGTGCGCGTAGCGTATCGTGTCAGCAAGAACGCCACTCGACGCTACAACGCTGAAAGAAAACTTGACTGCTCCAGACCCTGAATTTGATCAGGCAGCTGTCCAGCTCAAACAAAATCTAGCTCATGGGCTATACTCATTCTTATCGCTGTCAAAGGGACACTCAGCAATGTTATTGATTTCGAGCTTGGCAGGAAAACTGCAGGGTAACGAATCTACAAGACCAGCAACGCACGCGCCATGACGCCAAGCAATGAGGCACCGACGCAACTGGGCAACGAGGCAGCGAAACAGATGGGCAATGGGGGCAACAGGGAGACAATACCACTAGGAGGCGTAGCAATGAGCGCAGAACAAAATCCGCAATGACGTGCGCGTCATCAAATTGAACCTCTGGGCAAGACCCCCACCCCACCCTCAGGTGACTTCAAGGACCGACGAAACAATCATCGACTGGTAAACATCCGTCACTGCGGAAACATCCAGGAGTTCCCTGCTCCACGACACAAGAAATTCGACGTGATGGGCCAAAAGACACTCGACAAGCACCTAAGAATTTCAGGGTCAAGCGCACCGCTTGAAGGTGTCTCATAAGTGGTCAGATCGCGCTGTGTTGGTTGTTCAGTTTCGTTCCCATCAGCGCTAGCTGCAAGGACCCTCGCACACACATGCATAGATACACACATGTATATATGTATATATATAGATCTGTATATACTAGACCCGTCCTGCATGCTTCGCGCCCGCTCAAGTTCTAGCTGGGCTTGATGGGCGAACACATGGAATATCATCATTGCCGTTTCTTGCATCCAGGGACTCTCTTGGAGGCCCTGTGCAAGCCTCGGAATCGTATAAAGGGGAACTGCGGAAACGCAGACATCATTAATTGTCGTTAGGTTTTCAACATTTGGGGCCCTCGAAGACTTCCTCGGTTCTTTTCTTGGGCCTTAACAGTGGTCTGTTGGGCAAGAACAGACAAGGGGGCGAACTTGGAGAGAAAAAAGCGGAATGGTGGGATTTCCTTTTTTCAAGTTGTAGTGCCTGGGCTGTGGGTTAGACGTTTTCTGCATGCAGGCCACGGTCTGTTGGGATGCCTCTCGGGGCCTTCGTGCAAAATAAGCAGGGAGTGAGTTTGAAAAAAGATAATTCTCAAATTCCACTGCTTCAACTCATGGGATCATGGGATCTCGATTTCTGCAATGGTTTCAGGGGCAACCAAGAGGACACGAAGACGATCCACGAGAGTGCATAGACACCGACTGAGAGTTCAACAGCATCTCCGAAACATTTTTGCATGTGACCCCGAAGTCTTGATGGGGCTCGAGGACGAGGATAGGGAGTAGGAGTCCCAACTTGAAAAAAAAACTTGAATTCCCTTTTCCAAAATTCCTCGGTCTTGGAGCGCTGGAAGCGGGAAACGATTTTACCCTCTTCGGGCTCTCTCGGGACGGCTCTTGAAGCTCTCTTGGGCTGTTTGGGGGGCCTCGTCGGGGATTTTGGGGGAGCCTCTCAGGGTCTGGGGTGTGTTGGAGGCCTCTGGAGGGTCCAAGAGTCCTCTCAGAGGTCTCTGGAGGCCTCCTGCTCCCGCTCTTGGGCTCATCTTAGGCCTGTTCTGGGGTGGTCTGGAGCTGTCCTGGCCGTTCTGGGGGCTCCGCGAGAGGTCGGGAAGCGCGATACCGGGAGCGTTCCGCAGATGTTCCGGGAAGGCGTGGGACCCCCTGGAGGAGGGGGCGCGCATTTGTCGAACTTGAGAAAAGAAGGGACCTCTGAAATCCCTTTTTTTTCAAATTCCTCGGTCTTGGATCGTTGAAGTCAGAAAGCGTGACTGGGTAGTCGAAGCCAATCTGGCGCCAATCTGGCAGGCCCAATCTGGCAAACGGGGGCAATCTGGCGAGGAAGCCAACGCGAATCCAGTCTGGCGAATAACCCAAATCATCCAGTTTGGCCGGGCCAGATTGGCCCTTGGGGCCCAATCCAATCTGACAGTCTGGCCTTCGACTACCCAGTCTGAGGTCTCTGGCGGCCTCCTGCTCCCGCTCTTGGGCTCATCTTGGGCATGGTCTTGGGTGGTCTGGAGCTGTCCTGGGCGCCTCTTCGGCAATCTTGGGGCCGTCTTGGAGCGTTAGAAACATGAAATGGTGAGAAGGCTAAAAACCCCTGGAAAGAAACAATGATATTAACGATTTAAGGTTCTCCGGGCTCTTTCGGGAGGCCTCTCGGAGACCTCT